CCAGGGCCACTTGGTTTAGCCGTGCATTATCAGCCAATATACCATGGATTGCATATGCAAATTTTGTGTTTGGACCAATCAAATCAATGGATTAACACCATCAATATACTGGTATAATATAATCGGCGATATAAAGTAGTACGCAGTGGTGTAAACTCGGATTCCCAAAGCATAAACCACGACAAAATTGTTTCTTAAAATATTTTAGTACGAAGTATTAAATATATATATTGACACTTGGTGCTTTCTTATTGTCTATGGGCAACCAGTAGTTGGTATATTTGAGATCGTCAGTCTCGGTACGGCTTTTCACATCTGGGTTAAACGGTCTTGTCTGAATCTGAAACAAAACAATAAAATATGAATACAGTAAATGAAATGAATAAAACACACAAACCACAGAAATGATGAACGTTCTATTGTCATTCATTATATAATAGATAAGACGGTATGTAACATTTTAACTGTGCAAAAACAATTACCTGTAATGACGTGTCTGTGACATGACTTCCTCCATAGGCATCGTACACGTCGTTATCGTATGCATGTATTTTGTCACCGGTTGTGTGTGTTACTGCAGATTTCCTAAATACAGGTTTAACATATAGAATTGATATAGATCTTATTTTTTTTTACCCAAATCATGTACTTCTGTAAGTAGTGATTTTTGAATGTTAAAATTATAGCAACATGGCGACTTACTTGAAAATATTGCTCTGACATATTCGACAGATGGCTAAGACAAGTATAATGGGAATTACTATAAATAACAGCACTGAAGCCAGCACGATCAATCCGATACCTGTATAGACAATAGAAGGACCGTGTATAAGTGTATTACAATTTGATATTAACATGACAATTATAATGATAGGAGTCAGCGGAGAGTATTGTCATAAGTATGAAAAGTTTAGTTTGAAAGACAAATTCCAATTTCTAATGCATAGACTCAGATACGTGTACAGGCAAAAACATATAGTGCAAGTACGCTGCAATTATAATTCTTTAGCGAGAAACATTTAAATAGACTTGAGATAAAAAAAATATTTACCTACTTCGCTGTCTTTCTCAGTGCCAGCTAGCGCATTTCGGTAAATAAAAAAACAGTAAATTTCATAAAATGTTAATACAATGCTAAAATAATTCTGAATCAATAACTGAATGAATAATTGTATACAAGAAAAATGCGTAGTACCTGATTGGATGCAGCCTGGTGTGAAAGTTACATCATCAATAGCTATTTACCCGGCCGGCAGAGATATGTCAGCAGCTTCTATAATGACCTGTTTATTATATATTAAGAAGTTTCTAACGTAATTGCAATGTAATTACATAACGTGTTGATACGTGTGGTCGATTCAAATGCCTGATTAAAATTGAGACGATGCAGCTCGTGTGATTAATAGCCAACCATGAACCGTTTGCTCGAGCAATCGAGTTTACACTACCGAGGAGCCCACTGGCTCATTAACACATTTCACCCGAGGAGAACTTTATGTGATAGGTATTTTTGATGGTTAAAACCTTTCACTTAGGTAACCGGGGTTCGGTCGTTTCCACGCTAGGCTAACAAAAGACACACACAAGTTTCGTTCATGTTCCCAAAACGATTCTCTGCCAAGTCCCTGGTTTTCACCCGAGACAGCATTAAATCCATCTTTATTTCTTGTCACCCCTTAACCAATTACAATCAGTATAAGAGACTCCAAGGCCTTTCCTTCCAACAAACAACCAATCACATGAAAGTTTTACACATCATAATCAATTAATTACTCGTCAAGCTGTCTAGAAAAAACACTACTATATATTGTCAACACTAACTAATATTGATGGGGTAATAATCTCGCACTAACATTCCACCATGATACTACCTTTTTTAAACTCGCAAACAACATTGGTTTAGAATTACAGCTACTGTCTTGTATCTTAAAAACTGCAGAGTCATGAGATGTTTTTGGTTGATTTCGACCAGCTCGCCATCTGGTCTTGTCATTAACCTTTATCAGTATAGGTCATGACAACCACTGTCAAACTGACTGAAATATAAATCATGATATTTACAAGAATGTGATGTCCATACGTAAATAAAAATAAGTTAATGACGATATCACAAAAGAAAATATACACTTGGAACAAGTTGGTATTCTTAATTGTATTTGACTTTCATCGTAACCGTTTCGGCGTGATATTTCCATGATTGTCAAACCACATGAGTGTCAGCATTTCGTCAATTGTGTGTCAACATTTGGTCACATGGTTATTTAATTCGATTATTGGAAACACAAACAAATCCTTTCCCATGCAATATTTTCATCGTTTGAGGTAATGTGTCAGAAGTCTGAATAAGATGAATCGATCTTCTCAAGCTGTCATAGTAACACGTGTTTAATAATTTGTAATAATATGTAAATTGCCAATATATGGAGAATATGTCCATGCATCCAAAAATGTTCATATAAAAACCAACGGCAGACTATCGTGAATTATCGCGTCCTCCTTTTAGAGTGGTGAACATGCGCCTTTGATAAAGGAGACTCGTATTGCTAGTAACAGGACACTTGTCTGATTCGGGCAAAAATATTCATCTGATACGCGTACACATTTCCAAGCAGCTTTGTCTCGTCTTGTGGCATTCCACTCGGGCGAAATGGAATCAAAACAACCGACATCCTGGGTAATTATATTTCCCAGGCACCAATTAAAAACATACGCATATTCACGTACACATTTCAATTACACTCACCTTAAAGTCGTGGTGGTGAACTAACGTTACGTCAGCTTTCTTATAATACTGACCTACGTCTCCCACGTTTGTCCAGACATTTATGATGGCATTCATCTCATCGTCGTTAGTTTCAGGTTGGATATATAAAGACAATTTTCCTGATTGTGTCCCATAAATATAAAAGTAGAACCGTATCTTCAAAAAAAGCATTGCAAATATGTATAACAGCTGTTATTTAAGTACGGACGTAATTAAACGTGCATAAAAAGACGGGCTAAGAACTCGCACATGATTTACTAACGTTTTGAAATGCCCTACAAAATATCCATGCATAAGGCGCGGAGCTTTATTTTAGTAATCTGTTTTCATCCCAATCCCGTAGTAGAGACTTGGCTGGTTCATCTTGGTAATAGCTAAATACGAGACCTTCTATTATCGGTTCAGAGTCGTACTCTTAATTAAATATAATTATATATTATTTAGTTCGCGAAACATTTTCTAGTTAACAGTGAGGGATATGTTGCTCTACCGTATATCCTCAATTCTGACATTCGGCAAAGTAGTGGATATAACGTTCGACCACATGGTTCGATCTGTATCAATCGGGCATGTTAGAACCGATGTTCGATTCAAGATACCTTGCACTCGTAAGATGTCGTTGCTAAAAACACCACACTGGTGACAAGCCGAGATGCAACAGTCGGCACGTCGCTGGCGAAATGGTCAGCTAACATGAAAACGCCCTCACTAGTCCATTTGGTGTGATCTCTACCAAGTCCGTTTGTAGAATTCAACGCTTGGTGACGCCGCCAATCATACTCGCCAGATGGGTCGTTCATCCACTGGCATAAATCTTCTTCAAAGTCACATGAGTCGTGAGTTCCTATTGCAAAAAATACCAATGCGCCTGTTTAATCTTGCGTATTTTATTATTTAAGTTGTTTTAGGCTAATTTGACTTCAAAATATGTCTTAAATTACCACAAAGTTCGGTGTCTTCGTCAGACGCATCACCGCAGTCGTCTGTCAAGTCGCATACTTGGTTTATATATATACATCCGCCAGACAAGCAGTGAAACTTTCCGGATATACAATTATCTGTGGATTCTGCAATGTTGAAATTTTACATTAAATGTGTTTTTGGTGGTGGTGGTGTTGTTGTTGTTGAAAACTGAGCAGCGATTTATTCAAATTAATTTTAGTCAACTTTGCGATGTAGAACTTGCCTTCGAATCCGCAATCCACCATTAATATATCATCAACAGCAACAAATCCTGACGGTGATACTGCTTCGAAAATTAGCTGTAATTATGATTTAAGTATAGGTGTTAACATACATACAATTACTATACGCTTTTTTTGGTACAAGCTCGTCACGATTGCTGTACGAAACTACTGCCGGCCGACATGTTATTGTTCGTAGTGAATTAACTCTCTTTACTAAGCCGGAGTTCATATTAATCCCAATAACGTACTAGTTGGAACGGAACCAGCAAAACTAAATTAAAATCTTGCAGCCAAAGCCACATAGCAAATTAAACTTTATCTGGATACACTAATGAGTTATAGGAACTCTTGTTTTTCACTTGAAGATAGATTATTTGTTTCCGGACATTTGTTTGTCAATCAACACATGTATCACTAGAAATATAGTGGGGTTACAACTTTATTCAGGCCGTCAGGTTTGAGAAAACATTAAAGTTGCTCAAAGATAAAAACGTACCTACCTTGTATTTAGTTTGTATGCGACCTATTTGTATGAGGGCGCTACTCCACGTTCCTATCTCAGTGTCATTAAAATTCATTTGCCACACTCGCGTTCGCAGATTATTTTGCATGGTGTATACAGTCAATAAGCCATCTAATTGCAATAAGAGAAACAAAATCGCATGACATCGAAATATAAACAGCAATTGACATTAACGACTAAATATAAATTTAGAATCTACGCAATGTAGCATATTTTTTTTATATACAGACAGTTATGCCAGATATAGATCACAACCACGTGACACGCGAGCCACAAAAAACATGTATAATAATTAATATAAACAATTGTTTGACCAAACCATCCATAGCCGAGAGCTCTACAAAATACATCTGTTGACGTCACGATAGTTATTGAGAGGAGTTGCTACAGTACAATGTGCATTGCCAAGGCAACACAATTAATTACGCCTCCGTACACCGGAAGAAAAACTGCCCAATTATCTAGCAACATAATAATAAATCTTTACATATCTGTGTTTATTATTATCATTTTTGGTTGCTGCTTTTTAGATGCATATACTTATAATGTGTTTTTGCGGTGATTTAAATATGTGAACAGAAACAATATTTGTTGTGGATCATTTTTACCTGATTGACTTAAAAAATACCAGAACACTAAAGTGCAAGTCGAACTGCATGCTCCAAGATATGACGTTTCTACTGTGGCAGGAGACATTTTTCTAAAGTTGCCACGCGCGTCGTCGGTGTTGAAAGCGTCTGCTACAAGATAATACCCTGAAAAAAAAGAACAGTTATGTTTGCGTATTGAATACAGATTATTATTGACACGCCTTATGACTTATACAATTGCAAGTTACTTGATTTGAGAAGATGATTTTTTTGTACAGAATATATTTTTTTTTTAATTTTTACCGTTTGGGGAATTGAGAGTGTGATCCAGGAGAGGACCCGAGTGACTGTTTCCATTAGTAACCATCCAGTGATACGAACCAACACTAGTTTCCTCATACCTACACGATCCTTCCTCAAACGAACAACGTCCTAGACATAAGAAAATGTTGCTATAATTAGAAATTTGATCATGTGACCCAGCGTTTGGATCGTACATTTATTTCGGTGTACCCACACTTGACTCTGTTTTTACGCAGATTGTATTATTACTTAGGTTATATTCGTATTCAGATTCATGTAAAACTCTATGTACTGTATATATCCGATCATAACATAATATCGATGGAATGCATTCATAGAAACTACTTCACAGATATATTTTTAAATACATCAATATATGATTGTATTTTGTTAAAGGTCAATCATTCTAACTATTTTGAATAACATTGTGAGAAATAAAATAAAACAATAGAGGGCGCAATGATTTTTATGAAGTTAATTATCGCCTACATTACTCATACACATTTAAAATTTACTATCAGGACTGGATACCGAGTAATATTATTCTTGCCTAAAAGACAAAATCCGTAAATAAACCTACCGCAGTCGAACTCGTCAGAACCATATGGACAATCGTCTTTCCAATCACACACTTCAGACAATGGAATGTATGTACTGTTATCCCCGCACATAAACAGTGGTACGTCGCTGGTTGACTCGGGTGGACGATCTGTAGTATGTTTCTGAGTGGGGCTGCTATAACTGATACTAAACTCAGGGTCTGTAGTAAATGTCGACACTGGTTGAGTTGTGGATATTATCGTATTTACTATTGTTCCGTCACTCGGAGTTTCACTAGTAGTCATTACTGGTTTATTCATAGTTGATTTCAAAGTGGACTGGGCTTCTCTATCGGTTGTTGGATTTATTGGTACCTCCGTGTGTGTCTTAGTATATTGACCAGTAATGTAAGAATTGGTGGTAGAATCATGGGTCGTACTATAAGTAGAGGTTCCCGTCAGTTTTGATACAAGTATGGTTGCAGATATTATTGGACTTGTTGTTTGTTCTATTGTTCCATCGCTTGGGGTTTCGCTAGTAGTAATAACTGGTTTATTTACAGTTGACCTCAAAGTGGACTGGGCACCTCCGTCTGTTGTCGGGTTTATTGGTACATCGTACTTGGTAGATTGACCACTAATGTAAGGGGAAGTTACTGCATCATGGGTGGTACTATGAGTAGAGTTTGCCGTCTGTTTTGATACAGGTATATTTGTAGATATTATTGGACTTATTGTGTTTTCTATTGTTCCGTCGCTTGGAGATTCACTGGTAGTAATTACTGGTTTATTCACAGTTGAACTCAGAGTGGACTGGGCACCTCCGTCTGTTGTTGGGTTTATTGGTACATCGGACTTGGTAGATTGACCACTAATGTAAGGGGGAGTTACTGCATCATTGGCGGTACTATAAGTAGAGTTTGCCTTCTGTTTTGATACGGGTATAGTTGTTGATACTATTGGACTTATTGTGTTTTCTATTGTCCCGTCGCTTGGAGATTCACTGGTAGTAATTACTGGTTTATTTATAGTTGACCTCAAAGTTGACTGGGCACTTTCGTCTGTTGTTGGGTTTATTGGTACATCGAACTTGGTAGATTGACCACTAATGTAAGGTGGAGTAACTGCATCATGGGTGGTACTATGAGTAGAATTTGCCGTCTGTTTTGATACAGGTATATTTGTAGATATTATTGGACTTATTGTGTTTTCTATTGTTCCGTCGCTTGGAGATTCACTGGTAGTAATTACTGGTTTGTTTACAGTTGACCTCAAAGTGGACCGGGCACCTCCGTCTGTTGTTGGATTTATTGGTGCATCAGTTAGTAACTTGGTAGTTTGACCAGTAAAATAATGGGTAATGGTGGCCTCATCAGTGGTACTAAAAGTGTGAATTTCCGTCTCTTTTGATACACGTGTAGAAGATGGATCCACAATACGAAGTGTTGTCATGATTGATGATTGTAATGGTGGTATCGCCGTTGTCTGCAGATCAGTGTTAGTACTGCCTGTTGATGCAGTAGTTCGTTGAGTTGGTGTTGAAGTGGCAACATTCGTTGGCGTTGAAGTGACAGTAGTCGTTGTCGGCATAAGCGTTGTGCTATGTTCACAAGCTTGGTTCAGTAGTTGGATATCATCAATTGCAATATCACTTGAGAATGTTACGTTGACCTTAGCTTTGATTACGATCTATGGAGTTTACAAAATCAGGCATAAATTGTTTTATAGTATTACTATGAAGTGACGAAACTTATTATTTTTTCTTTGGAATACGCAGTTTAGTTTTCATAAACATTTAACAAATATATATAATCCAATAGCCAAATAAATCATTCACCCTGTAGTCGGCAGTTGCCTTCAAGTCAATCAAAGCCTTATTCCACTCGTCTCCTTGGTTACCTTCAATGGACCACACAGGCACAACAGTTTCATCCAAAAGTTGTTGGTATACCTGGAAGTGAAACAGCACGTATTGGTCCGTGAACCATTGCTGCGATGTAACCAAGAATATGGCCAAGGGAAAAACAAAACAAAGAAAAAAGGAAAGGTAATGTGCTTGCCGTTGGTTGCGCAATATCCAAATTACGCATGCACAGATTGGTGTTTCATAAACAAAATCACACCACCGTATCAGTTTTTAAATAAAATTTAATTTTTTTTTGCCTAACTAAATGTAAAATAACGTAAATACAGTGAGAACAACACCAGAGTTAAAACGGGAGGGTCGTCACCTGGGCACTCACGGCGGGAATTGGGTCCTAAGCGACAATAACAGCAGACGCTAAAACACAAAGGCTCATGGGTAGACGCTTGTTTGTAAACAATGACACGCTATGGTCATCCGACGCATGCGCAGATGACGACTCTCTCGCTTTAACCACCAATTCCAAGTCTGTTTTAGATCAACATAGTATACACAACGGGGTCATACAGGTTGTAACTGGGTGGGGATTATTTTGAATCAGATAGACTGAAACTAAAATATGTTCTATTGGGCCTACTAATGTTATTTATAATTAATCTACATGTGGAGTGTCGGGAACAAACGAAACATCAAAGAAACCAGAGACAATTTTGTTTATTCGGTCATTTTTAGCTACGCCAACCGTTCTGTCAATTGAAGTATAGCTGATGCATATTCTATAAAATAATTTGATAACGACAGCTATAAACGTATAAACGAACTCCCCAAGAGTACACACACGATAATGCAACACAAAGTAAAGTATCACAAAAATTATATAGAATGTGTAATATTATATAGTATTATATGTGTGCTGTGGATCCATATAGTTTTTTCCGTAACGGCCCTTTGTCTTTGTAATGGCATTTTAGTCATTTCTGATACATTTGGTGTCCTTTTTTTTTGGATATTGAAATGTTACTAGTACCGACACAGAAGAGCCATGGCTCCTCCCATAAACTCGAATAGCTCAAATGTGCTTAAAACGCTCGATAAACGTACACAATTTCCTCACATTACGCAATAACGTTTTTATCGAAACTATCACCAATCGACAGTATGTTTATCAAACACTAACTAGCGCGAAAACCGCGTCAAAAATGAAGTTGAAGTTGTTTTATCCGGATCTAGTGACAGCCATTTTGATGAGGTCGAACGAGGGTAAAATTACTTGTCACTTTGATCATCTCACGATCGGAAAGTGAAACAGCTGAAACTCCAAGAGATGGTCGTCTGTTACATCCTATATCCCACATGCATGGAAAAACATTTATTTGCAAATTTCTCTCAAAAGACAGAGCATTATACACACGCTTTTGAAGCCGGGGATATCCTTTGGGAATCAAATCTAGTTACTTCATAATTGTCCTCGTTCGACCTGAAGAATGGGGCTGCCATCGGAGTTAGTAACCGTGGTTGAGGTTGATATATAAAACTATAAATTGAGCAAATCATTGAGAAGTAATTTTTTATTGGATAGCTTTAGTTCCATTTACAAATAATACAATGCCCATTATGATTGGCTAGTTTAATTTTAGTGGCTTGTATACAGACATCCAAAAACAAATATTTCTGGTCGTACAGAGGGCGCTGTCCAATTGCGAAATATTGTTCAGTTGACCAGAAATATACTTTTTTCGTTTAGGCCTTATGCTTTATGACTTCCAAAAGGTGCCAAATTATACATTCATGCTGATAGTATGGGATCTGCACGGTATAATTAGACGATATGTATATTACGAGTAGTCGTCATTGGTTATAACGAACGTGTTATCACCCAGAGAGCAACTAATCTATAGGTGGAAGAACTGAGGCTTAGTACATGTATGACGTACAGCGATGTTTGAAGGTTAATAGTATTATATAATAGTAAAAGTAGTACCACCCCAAGAAAGCAAAGTATTCTATTGAAGACCAGGAGAGTACAAAATAATAGTAGCTCCGCTGTTAAAAAAATACAACTTTTTCACATTTTGTAGAAATCTTCTTTTTTTCAGCATTCTGTAAAATTAATCTCTCACTTGTCAGAGGATCATATTGAATTTAACACAATTGGAACTATTTCGAGATAATTGGATTCGCATAAAATGTGCTCCTGTAGGGTAGTATTGTTCTTAATTTCCTCATTTCTGATATCAATACAAGAAATTATCAGAAAAAAATCTAAAACGAACAAATAAAATATTTTTGTGAAAACAAACCATCACAGTAACACATTTTAAGCGAATCCAGTTATTCCGAAATAGTTCCAATTGTGTTATTTTTTCCTTACAAGTAGAAATTTAGAATTAAGATCCCCAAGTTTTACGTCCAAAACCTGAAGGAAAGTTTGCACCAACGACTAATGTTATGCAGAGCCGATGGAACGTAGTCGTCTGAGTAATAGCTAAATTCAATATCCAAACATGGACATTTGTATGTTATTACAGTGTTCTACTAGTTTCAGCTTTTTTTCACTTGTATATGATAAGTGTATGATTTCTCAAGAGCAGGATATAATCTGCCTGGGATAAATTAAAGGAGGCAATGACGTATGACGTACATATTTTGACGTATACCATGCCAGAACGTAACAAAGTAGGAGTGTTATGTCACGGAAAAAGTCACATAAGTGAACAATGAACACCATAACAAGTTATAGAAGCAGTATACTTCACCTGACACATCCTTGCACTCTCCATCTGATATCATGATGTCATCAACTGCAATGTCATAATAATAAGTATTTCCTATCATATCGCGATCGACTTCGAACTCGAATATCAGCTCATAGGCTGCAGATGGTGTAAATTCGGCGTAGCCAATGTTCCAGAATATGTTGTGCGTTACAGAGTCCATGGTCCAGATTTCCCATGGGTCATCAAACAAGTTACCGTCATCTACGTACACAGAGAGCACTCCATCATCTTCCTCTGCAAAGAAGTTTAAATTGAAGTGACACCTTGGTATATTTACACAACCCGAATATCTGTATTTACCGAATATAGTGTAAAAGAAAGCACTGCAAGTTGTACATTGCCAAGTTTTCAAAGTTATCAATATCGACATCGATCGATTGGGGTCAATATTTGTATTATTATATCGAATAAAACAAACATTTTGTAAATGGCCGCATTGCGAAATCTTTGCCGCCAAAGTTTTCAATGACAGCATACAGAATGTTCAAGTAGTCGTTTTTGGTTCGTGTGTATTTATTTTTCATAATCCCTTCCAAAATTATTGTCAAATTTACATGCAAGATTTGTTTATGTATGAACTAGCTGACATTTCAGAAGCTGCTATGGTTACACATGACGCACGCATACAAACAAAACAGTTACTCTGACCTAAATAAAACGCAATATAACAACACAATTCCGGTTCAATAATCAATTAATTAAACTCATATGTGTGTACGATACTTAATAAGCAATAAAATCAACTTGATGAAGTATATATAAGCACTATACGCCGAAATACAACGTCAACAAATCGTAAATCGTCAAATCAACAAGTCGTGTTTTTCCATGATTACACCTGGTTACAAGTAATCACATAGAAAATAACTCGGTCCAAGTAAAGCAAGATACCAAGATACAGTTGTTCTACCTGTTCACAAATTAATTTAAAACGGTTAGTCAGCATTTCGTTAGATCAATCAGAACGTCTGCGCAAGCGCGGACGCCTAGTATAACATCTTTGACCGTTGACAGGTGCAAACATATCGACGGCCAAATGCGCGAGTCTGATTGGCGAATAGGGCTATGAGGTATAATAATAATATATTATACTAACCTATCATATTGTACCAGAATGTTAAGCACTTCAAAGTGTCGAATTCACTGTAGGTAGGGCTACGCAATTGTGCTTTCAGTGTCCCTGCCAGACCGTCTGCTGTCACACTAGCAAACATATAGCTTCCTGTAACGTCAAAAATAGCATGACCTAATTGTTAAAAACTCAAAAATACATTTCGATATTAACTAGATGACAATCACTTGTTTTAAGGCAGCATGAATGCCGTTAACAACGGTACTGAGTTGATCAAATCATCCAGAAGTTACCTACCATATTGACTTCCTAAAGTATGGTCATATCCTGGTCCTTCCTTGTGCTTGTCAGCCTCCTTCATCTCCCACTTGAAGCGTCCTGGCAAGTCTTCGCCACCAACGTCATAATCGCACTCCCCATACAACGCAGGCTCAAAGCCACAGAACTCTGTTAACATTGACAACGAGTATTGCAATTACATTTTATTCCACGTACGCATTATCTAAAAGCAGCGAATCTGTCAACCGTGTTACACTAGAGCCTGGCTCGTATGTTATAATTAGTTCTAGTTACTCACTCAGTGATGGACATTGTCCATCCAACATCACTACGTCATCGATAGCTATAACACCCAATGTGTCTTCACTGCCACTGGCCTCAATGGTCACGTGTTCTATCTCATTTGTTACAAACACCTGCATGTATCTCCACGTTGAACCATGGTTGCCAGTCACAGATTCTATTTTGCTCAGAATTTTTGCTTCGAGTAAAAATTAAGTAAAAATTTAGACAAACAATATTTTTAAATATCTATGTTTATATATCATTATAACAAGGCATACCACTGTACATTGTAATTTATTTGTGTATAAACGAACAAACCAACAAACACATAATTAAAGTGGAGGGGTTGTCACCTGCACACGCGCGGGAATTGAGTTCAAACCGACGATAATAACGCACACTTAAAACGCAATGGCTCATGGGTGGACGCTTGTTAGTAAACAATGACACGTTATGGCCATCTGACGCATGCGCAGGTGACGACACCCTCGTTTTCAATAAATATGTACATAACTTTCGTTTCGTTTTAACGAGCCAATACACATTGACAATTTATATGTAATACATACAGTCATCTAGGATTGTGAGCGTTCCTTGCATTTCTCCGTACATATGGTACCAGAATGTTAAACATGAACCAGTTAGTAGTTTGCGTATAGTAGGACTCTTAAGCTGTGGTGACTGTGTGGTCTGGTCTGGACTGTAGTCCACGAATGCATACCATCCTGTAGTTTAATTTTAAAAACATGTTTAACAGATACAATTGAATCATGGTACTGGCGTTATGCTTCCCGTGGTGGGGGATAACCCATCAAAACACTAAAAAAGACGAAATGAAGTTGGCTAATGTAAAAATACTTTTTTGCAATACGCAAATTTCAAATGTTTGCATCGTCTAATCAAAAATCACATACAATAATTTCATTTTAATTGGCTTTAGGTCCCCGCTCATCTCCATGAATCTCTCAGGCGGTATTCAAGACGGCAATAAAATTGTAGTCGACAGATTTAAGCCTGTATCTTGGCTTAGTTAGTGCGTATCTCTCTAATATCGAAATATAACTAGATCCCTAGCTATAACAAACAACGCTACATGTCATAATCGAAATGCCCCACCTTCTTGTGTTTGCCATGTATGGTCAGCTGATGGTCCCGAGCTCGCTATAGGGTACACTGCACCCTGTGTAAAATTCCAGTTGCCGCCATCGTCGTCGTCACCGACTTGTGTCCATTCACATGCATCGCCGTTTTCAAAGTCACAGTCTAGTGATGCTCCAATACTTGTAACTGGTTCAATGTACGCTGTAACAACGAATTCAAGAGCATCTCATTTCAATTATCACGCATATATTGGGGCACATTTAGTTTACTAATAAACACAATTGTTGACTCATTTGGGATCTGTGATTCAGACACATGAGTCTCTCGAGTAAAGATAGTTGCCAAGTAAACAGTGCTCACGGTACCATCTAACTATCTATGTTGCTATCTAACTGATAAATTGCTGGTATATTTATTCTGATGAAGGTATTTGTAATCTGTTAGCGATAAACTCAATTTAAAATACAGCATTGAATATTTTTGTGTGCATTGTAATATGAGTTCGGTATCAACGACATGGTGATCACAACATTGTCCCGTCGACTTAGGGGAATCCCCTCACAGCTAATTGTATGCTGGCTAAACGGTCAATACATTTGAGATGTGTGTTCACTATATGTATCTACAGATTACAGATTAGGGCGTCTCTAACAAAACATATTATTTTTTTAATGAAGCATTTTCAGTGAACTGCTTTAAAGTAGTTGAAGACCAATAAAACATTTCGAATTTCCTTGGCTTTTTACAATATGTTTTCACAAAACAAAACAAAACTAAAATATAAGTACGCGAAATACTTTTCCTACAAAATATGTGTAAATTCGTAGTAAATAAACGATGATGTTCCAGCCAGTGACAACTGATTTCTACGATAAATATCAGATCCCAAAATTTCATTCGAAAAAATCAATGTATCATATAGTCATATGAGATACTTAGTACTTGTGGTTGTCATGAATTATTGTGGAATTCTGACGAATAATATTCATTTGTTTCAATGAAAGGAAATTTCTGTTTCCGCTATGGATATGAAACGAATGTTAAATGTGTAATGTATATACTCTAAATGACCTTCACAAAACGATAACACTCCTTTTGGTTTTGGTTTCTCGGGTAAAATGATAAAATAAAAATGTTGATGTGTTTAGTTTTGCCTCTAAATTTAGTATATTTCTGACCACACTTCTAAATATACAAATAGTACTCACCAGATATAGCACAATATACCGTCAACAATATTCTAAGGTTCTTCGTCATAGTTTATGATATTACCAAGATGATTGAAAAGAATTAAGAGTCAGTTGTCGTTGTGTACATTGCCCGTGCGATGGTTGTTGGCTAGATAAGTGAATAAAGCTCGAGTCGAAGTTCAAGTTGACTTAGTTAGCTGTGTTGGTTCAATCTCAATTTACACGCATACAATGCATCTGCGCACCGTATATGCGCAGTGATACGAACCGATCATGATTTCATGACCCTTCTATAAATAAATTTATTCATAATACTGTAGGCCTCCGGCCTCAAGGTATACTCATTGTAATTACATAACATTTTACAGAGGACAATGTCATTTTACAGTGACTGAAAAAGAACAAGAAAATATGAAAAAAATGACCTGTCAGACCAAAATAATGGTATAACGTTTTTTTGTGGCGAGAAAAATAAATTTAGAAATATTACGCAAGATTACTGCATTTTGTAATTGTAATAGCGATATAAATTAAAATCGGGTGAGGGAAATGTATAATAATAACTTGGGATGTATTTAGATGTATCATGGCCCTTTTTTCTTACTTTGGCTCGTACAAGAAAAGTACAATACACATTTTTTTAACTTTTTAAAAATTAAGTAAAAATTCTGCTTATCCGGACTTTGAGCATAAGCGACGATGTCAGGTATCCAAGGAAAATAGAACAAAGAATGAGAACGATCAGAATGCCGGAATCACTACAAGTTACCGGCCGTTTGTTACTTGATGCGCCATAACATTTGGGGCGGGAACCAGACATGTTATGTACGAGGCCATTCTCCAAGTATCGACTGAACGCTCTGAATCAGTCTCTGTCACAGGTGAATCTGAATATTCTTGTATTCTTAATGCGCGCGCACGGTGAACGCGCGCTTCAACATATATAGTAACACTCAAGACACTATAGAAAGATGAACAGAACATTACGACCTCACTCATCATCCGCTTCACGGTGTTGTTCCGTTCGGACATTCATCAAAAGCGGACCTACCTTTTGAGTTTGGCAGTGTTTCCATGGATATTTATTAAAGTTGTTGAATTTTGACTTGAGGAAATGTTGTTTAAAAAGTCGCCTGTGGCAGAGATTCTGGACCCTCACCCACGCCACCAACGGTAGACATCAGTCGAGGCTTGAAGAATGATACAAGGCATGGCGCACCAAGCCACAATAGGGCAGTAAGGTAAAACAAATGGTCACCTAGTTTTCAGATGCATTTTTTTTGTGAAGCATGTATATATGGATCATGTTAACTACCAATATTTCACGATCCACTAATCTAATTCATACAACCGGATATGTAGCTATTTAGAAATAATACTAATTTTTACTGGAAATCCAAATTGTCTACTTTGGTTTCACATTATCCAACCTCCTCTTCTTTACAAATTTTAGATGTGTTATTGGTTATCAAGTATTGGTTTTGGTAATTACGCCATTGACTCCATTATGGGTCAAGGATTCCAATATAGTTCACGTTTCCCCATTTTCAGAATCTAATTTTTATGTTTCAACTTCTTGTTTTCAGTTGGAGTCTTGATGCCATGATACACTGTTCAAATTTTGATGCCAACAAAAGTTGCAGCGTCTTGATAAAGTGTGCCATGGCTTTATATTCCAATATCCGGTACCAATTGTGTAAACATTTATAGTTCCAGAATGATATTATGTTATTATTATTATTATTATTA